GAAGTGCACTCTGGGGGCGCTAATTGGTAGTCCTCGCCAGTTTTCAGTGAATTGCGATGGCATACTAAGTAAGCCGGGCTGCTGTTCTCACCCTGCCTCTCTTGTCTTTGCAGGGGAATGTTTACCCCAGTCGGGGGACGTCAAAAAATCCTTTCATCTGACCCCCCGTTTCCCCACCCTTTCCCTCTCTCTCTGGGAACTGAAGGAGGAGCTGCTGCCATTTCAATGCCTCTGGAGTATTTTCACCCCCCTCAGGGGAGGGTCGCGCATCCACGCCGCCCTCCCTCCCCTATCTGTCTTTGTTTACGTGTTTGTGGAGAGGAAAAACAGAAAAACAAACAAAAATGCGCGAATGCAGTTCACAAAATCCCTGTCTGTATGTGCAAGAGTGTCGGCCTGCTGTGTTTGTGCCACGTGACGTACGTCAAAAGGTGTTTGTGTGCCAGTAGACGCCACCTCAGGGCTCTGTGGGAGTCACGACGCCTCTACGACTTTTCTTTTTTGCTGAGATGCACTCACCTATATTACACACACACATGTGTTGCTGCTGCTATTTGCTTTCATCTCCTGCTTAGAAGTGTAAAAAAAAAAAAGAGAGAGAGAGAGATATAAAAAAAAATTCCCTCGGCCCGTGAGTAAGTACGTCAGCGCTGTCTCCGGCTTTAAAACTTTTGAGTCTCGGAGAAGCCAGCTGAGACTCTGACCCTGCATCACGAGCATCCACAGATGGTTTTAACAGCCTTAACAGCCTCCTGATGCATGTGAATCGGTGTCCGAAGATAAGACGGGCTTGTCTCTGTGGGGTGTGAGCGCGGGTGCGTGTTTGCATTCGTCATTGTTGCTGTTTTTTCTTTCTTTTCTTTCTTGTTTTGTTTTTGTTGTTGTCAGGTTTCCTTGCAAAGGATGAGCTACGTTTTCCACTCTCAGGCTGCATGCGCTTAGAGGGCTAAAAAGGAGCTACTGAATGTAAAAGCAACGTCAGAGTAACTTAAATGTGTATAAAGATCTTCATCGCTTCATGTACCGGACCAAAACCTTTATTCTGCTTTTTTTCCCCTTTGGTTGACATGAAGTTTAATTCTCTTATTTTGCCAAAAATAAAAGAAGAGATTCATGTAAGAGCGTATTTGTAACTACAAGTATTCATGTTCATAAAACCAGTTTGTTGCTTCTTAAAACGGTGTGTGGTGGTATTTTTGTGACAAGCGTGGTTCTGACACGCACATGCGGCTGTGTGGAGCATTTCAAACAGCAGGGGGCGTGAGGCATCCAGTTTTCTTCTCTGACCTCATGCGCAAGGTTACTTTTGGATGCATGTTGCATAACTACATACATACTGCATAAGCGTGCAGCACAAATATAGAAGCCCTTTAGAGCCGCTAGAATGACTACAATGGGACCCCTTTGCAATATTTATTGGAATATTAAATCCAGTGTGAATCCAAATCTACATCATGCCCACTAAGTAAGCTCTGCTACATTCCTTTTTTTGGGGGGGGGTGACTGCACGCAGAGGCAGACGAGAGTGGGGAGAAATGGCGAGTGGAAATGGTCCATCTATCGAATTATATCAGCTTAATCGGGACTCAGTAGCAGGAATATAAATCACTGTGTTCCCTTAGGTTTTATGAGGTACTGTGATCCTTGATTTTCTTTACAGTCATGCGACCTTCTGCAGTGTTAATCAGTATGCCCCCCCCCCTCTCTGTCCTGAATGCACAGTGCTGCAAACATGCGTCAGTGTGTTCACATTTCAGCAGAAAGGGGGATTTTTAAGGACGGACTCGTGGAAGCGCCAAGACTGAAATCCTAGCTTTGGAAGGGATGCTGCCTTCAGGTGC